ACAGGTGGTGGAGAAATAACACAAAGGGGTATCTATATTAAAGTTACTGAACAACAGCTTACAGATACCTAACTTGGTATTTCAGCTTTGCTTCAGGCTTTCCAAAGTAAACATGAAAGTAAAGGTGGAGGCATTCCAGAAGATGGTGCATGCAACTACACAAATATAATTAGATATGTGCTCCAGCAATGCTCATAAGACAATAATTTTCAAAACAGGAGCTCTGTTGACTGCCCTTGACATTGAAAATATCCTAAATTCCAAGCACAGCCTTCTTCCTCCTTTAAAAGTTTGTAGCTGTATGTGACATTGTCATCTTAACGCAGTGGATTATTTTGATGAAACTATGCCTGGAATATTATGACATGAGTGAGATTCTTTAATGTATTCAATGCTATTCAATAGCAAATAATTTCCTGGGCTTGCATTCTGGAAAAGTGTCAGCATAATACAAGATGGGGGAATGCACAAAATGGAGTAGCTGGTATTTTAAAACACCTAGGTCAGACTGTCAAAGCCTGGAAAACAAGCCATGTAACTAAATCAGGGAAATTATATTCTTAGCTTTTTAGATTTTTAACTTATGGTTAAGTGCACGTATCATATGCCACGCTCAGAATTTTTCTAAAGTCCCATCTGTTTGATCCCTTTCTCCTGCTTTTACTGACAGCAAGGGCTATGCCTGGATTACAGTTACTATTATGCAGAAGATTCACAATAAAACCTGACAGTATATAAACATTTATCCAAACTGGATTTTCATTAAATGGGGATTCAATCCTTCTGCTCCCATGACAGATTTTAAACAAAGCTGAGAAATGCTGGTATCATTTTTTAATCAACAAAATGTAAAAATGGAAAATTTATGCATAAATATGAGCAAGATCACCCAGCTCAGAATTCACCAGAACAGCATGTATGAATCAAAAACAGACTGTCCAATGAAATCTGAAAACTCTGGGATTGTAACCACAGTAGCACACTTCAGATGCTGATGCATAACCTGCTGTAATTTGGTCAGCTGGGAAAGAAGTTTTGTTTATTGTACATTTGTGAGTCCATTCTTTCATTCCCCATCGTTAGAAACTTATTCAGGCTTTCTGTTGCTTGAAGGACAGGAAGACAGGATGAAAGGAATATCTCATCCAACATACTCAAATCTATAAAGAGTACATCAGAGTTCATCACCAAAGCTGAGACTTCCTGAGCAAACACAACAGTCTTAATGGCTTCTTTCAGAGGAGAAATTTAAAAGTACCATCCTCCCCTCAAAAGTTTTAGCCACTTACTCAACCAGTGTTTTCCATTTCCAAATGGGTTATCTAAAGAAAATGTGGGGACTAAAAAAGAAAAAAATAATGTAGAAAGTCATAAAAAAAGCCCAAAAATGACAACTCCACAAGCCAAACTCATAAAAGCAAAAAAACCCCAAACCAAACCAAAAATTACTTGTAATGGGGTTTTTTAAATAAAATTGTACAAAGAAAACCTGAACAAAAAAAACCTGAGGTCTTTTTAAAGCCTGGATTACGTAATACCCCATTAAAGACTGATGTGTCAGAGTTGACTGTGTGCTTGATTTGTTTTGTGTAAATTAAAAATTAAGGCACCCTCACCATTCAGCTTAAATTCTCAAGGTGGCAACATTGAAAAAATTTAAGCATATGGAGAAGCTAAATATGAAGTTTCCCTACCGATGACCTACCCTATCCTTAAAATGAGCTCATGTTAAACCATTCACAAAAATAAACACTGAAGTCACAGCTTTAAAATAGCACAAAACATCCAGTGGATCTTGTTTGTTACCTAACCACGCGGGAGAACTCCTGCCAGTTTACATCCCAGGCAATTTTTCACCAAGAGACAGTGAGTAAAATGTAGAAGTTTGACTAAAAAATTGAATTTTAGAATTTGAATTAAGTTTAGAATAAAAAGAATTAAGTTTTAAAAAAAATAAATTAAAATCCTGTGACTTCAGGATACTCCTCTGTAGGTGAACAGGAATGGAAGATCCACAATCAGGGCTCCTTCTGACCTCTTCATTTCCAGTGTTCCCGGTGGTCTCCTGCAACACAGCCTCCCCTCTGCCCTTGGCCAAGGGGTGTGCCTCAGTCCCTCTCCCCACAGCTGTGGGTTCAGAGCAGGTTCAAAACAGGCACGAGCCAGAGCCAGTGCTCCAGGGCATCCCAGTGCCAGTGTCACCACTGAGAGCAGAAGGCAGAGGATGGACACGTGTCAACTGCCCAACAACAGCATGATGGGGTTTATAACTCTGGAAGGTGCTTGAGCTGCCAGCTGAGCCTGTTGGCATTGCCAGGACGGGTCATGAGGATACAGAAGAGGTCCAAGGTGTAACTCAAGTATTTGTTAATTGCTACCATATCTCTCTTTTTGTCCCTTTATAATTAGCATATTCATCCTTAGATGTGCACACGCTACTGCACAGCTCCCTAAGAATATCATCCTCTAATACCCTTCAAACCTGAGCAAGTGGGATGAAACTTTTTTGCTCATTCAAGGTCCTCTGTCTGCAGCTGTTCCACATGGCATATTCCCATTTCAGTAAATTGGTGCTCTGCTCCCAGAACAGATGCAAAATCACTCTCACAGTGAGAATGTACAATGGGGCCTGATTCTAAGAATGAAGCACCATTTTAAGTCCTCATAATTCTGTATTCAAACCATTCTTTCTGATCGCAATGGGAATTCCATAACCCTAGTAAAAAAATTGCTCTTTACTAGTTAGAGGACAATTACAGTCTATCAGAATTGCATTTTTCTAAATGTGTACATTCTGGCTGTTATTTCTGAGCACTGTTAGAGGCTACAGACAGAAAAACACCTGCATCCCACTCATTACAGCACTGACCCTGACAAAGACACACTCAGTCTACCGAGGCAGGGATATAGCATTTAAGGGTCAAATTTAAAGGTTTCTCTCCCTTAATGACAAACCTATCAGTATAAAAGTGATTCTGCACAAGTTGCTGCTTGCAGTGTAGAAGATGCTTGAAGGTCCTCACAAAACTAAACGAAGTACTACAACTAATCACTCTTTAAATTTTAAAATGTATCTTCTTTTACTAAATGGAAACTGTTGCCTTTCACAGTTTTTTTGGTGTTGTACCATTCCAAGTACCCACCATAAAAAAGGATGTTTAATTCCCAGAGAATGTGCCAGTGCCTGGAACTTGTATAAGCAACAGAACCCTCAAACACATGGGAGCCAAGAGAGTCCCAGAGGTATTGGTGCTTCCCTATGGAAGGATAACACAGGGAAGGTGATGGAAAAGATTCACTCTGCTGGAAAGAATGGAAAGTCAACATTCTGCCTCACTGGGTGGAAAACTTCTAACCATTTTGCAGCATAGGCTGCACTGCCAGAATCATAGGAAATAAATGAGAATCTGGCAAAGACAATAGGAAAGATCCTGAAAGTCAAACAAACCAACCAAAAAAAAAAACAAAACACCAAATGCATCATTTAAGAGATATCTCCTGCAAATTTTTAAAAATTTAATCCACAGTTTACAAAACCAGTCTGTTTAAAGAGATTAGCTAATAATTTATTAGCCAATTTAAAAATTCTCATATATATCCATTTTTCTCTGCTATTTTATAGCATTTTTGTTCTGCTTGAATATTCTGACAATGAAAAATACTTGAATAATTGAGTGATATAATTCCCTTAACAGCTTATGAAATTTTTAAGAAAGATAAAAAAACCTCAAGTGCTTTGAGAAAAAAAAAAATACCAGTGTACTATTATGATGGAAGTAGAAAAAGACATCAATATTCCACAATAAATGAATCATAATATTTAATTTAGGCATGCCATACAAAAGCATAAAGAAGAGAAATGAATGATCACTGAACCATACACAACTGAATGTCAAAAGTCACCAGTACTGTATAAAAAAGTGAAAATCTCAGAAATATTCTTCTGATAATAAGCAGAATTTCATCAATCTTTAAATTCATTAATTTCCATTTTCAAGCCAGGCACATTTGACTTTGCAACATTTTTTTTCTTTTTTTTTCTACTTTTATTGGGACTTAATTCAAGTCCCAGATCCTTCAGGAAATCTTCTGTCCTCTGACACTTTTTATTATTTATGTTAGAGTTCTCCACACATTTAGATCTTCAGATCAGAACTTGGGCACGTGAGTGTCTCAGATACACCTTTTGTATGCTATGCACAGTATCTCATGAGTAAATTACGTCACAAGCAGTGCAAAATGAAAACCCGTTCTTCTGTTTAAAAGATTGCTTAAATAATTTGGGGGTCTGGTGGGTATGTGTGTTAAAATCCTCATCTTTAGGAAGATATTGCAGAATTCCTTCTGCATATGACTCCTTTTTACTGCCCTCTATGACATACTACTACTACTAATAATAATAATAATAATAGATCTGGGTTTCTTTTCTGGTATTCTTTACAATACACTCAGGATGGCCTTGCATAACAGCAGAAGTTCAGGGGTATAAAAGTGTACAACAGCTATAGAGCAGATTCAAATGGCTATCATAGTCCATTTTATCTTTCAGTAATTAAACTTAAAAAACCTCTTATTCTTAAAACTACCAGCCCTTCCTCTCTCTCAATTAACAGCACATACAGCTGTTTTCTAATACTCTAGCTGGAGTACCCAAAATAAAGGAATGCTTCTGGTATGTAGGGATGTATAGGACTTTAATATGTAAAAAAGGCAACAAAATGAAACATTAATCCTTGCATGTTTGTATGATTAGAAAATATAATATTGAAGATTTTTCTTATCTATGGAAAGATCAAAATGTTGCTATTTACATCTTTCTACATATGATTATCACAGACTATTAAAAAAAAGCCACCAGCTGTGAGGCATGCAGTAAAATTAGAGAAAAACATTCCACTGCTCTCCAGCATTCTGAGTGTTTACTTATTTTTTTTAATGCTTCCTCCCTCAGCCAGAAGACTTGTCTGGCACTTGCTGGCCGTTTTAAAAAGGTGACTTACCGGCAGTGTTTGTGGGATCCCGTTAGGGTTTCGATCACAAAGCATTCCCCTTCGTTGAGACAATATGCAAGGTCCTTGTCTTTGCATGGCTTAAAGTGCTCAGATCGCTCCGTGGAATACGTTGTAGTGTCTGAGGAGACAGCAAGGAAAGGAGAAAAATGCTGTAAGGATAAATATTGGATGTTCCTACAGTACATGTCAAATAAATTTGATCATCCTGGTCTCAGTAACACCAAACCCAGAGTAAAAGAAATGAAAAGCACAGGGAATGTGAAGCTCTGTTTGACTGCAGCATTATTTGCAATCAGGTTTCTTAGAAGAGTCACAAGAAACACTTGCAGAAAAACAAACCAGACTGGAGCAAAGTTGGAGTATAATCTCAACCACTTCCAATTCCCAAGGTTTCCCTGCTAAAATGTAACAACACCTACTTTGTGTCCTTTAACCAGAACAATATTCTCATATTTACTACAACAAAATATGGTTTAAAATAAGATACAATTTTTTTTTCATAAAAACCAAGCAAAAGTAGTTAATACAGTGTAAATTTAAAAAAGAATACAAAAATAAAACCCACTACAGTGAAAGAGAAAAGCCAAATACCCAAGGTCAGCACCAATTTGATTCACCAGTCACAAAAAACCAGCCTAAGACTCAAACACAAGCAATGAGCCAGAGATTGTGTCATTTCACAATCATCTGTAGGTGTATATAAATCCACTCCATAAACACAGTTTAAGGCCTAACAGCCTACAGATTACAGGCAGAACTGTCGGCTGCACCTTTGGAATATTTAGTTAGATAATTAGATTTGGAATAGACTGACAGTATGTCAGGGTGAACTATCATTCCTGTCTTTTAATAAATCTCTTTAACCTTTCCAATCCAGTTAGATTAATCAACAATAAAGTGAAATTTTCAGAGGAAGATGCCTGACTGACACATATTTTATTTTTCTTCACTACGACAAGGTTTTTGTCTAACGAAGTGTGATTTTCAAAATAGACTATGATTCCCACAGAGCCATGGTTTAATCTTCATATTCAATCTTAATTCAAAAAGTTTAAATTCCTAATCACTTTGCAGGACCAGATATATACTGAAATAGTAAGAGAACATTTCACTGTATGCCATACAGCCTATCACAAAATATTAAGTTGCCTGTTATCTGATAAATTAAGCAGTGCTCAACAGACATAGAACCTTGCAAACTCAAAGTTTTGCAAACACTTTAACCTGGTTTTGCTCATAACTCAATACAAGGTAAATATCCACCAAACTGACAGCAAAGCTGAAAACCAAAATACCGAACCACAGGACACCTGTAACTAGAGTACTGCAAGAAAATTCAGATAATCCCAAAAAATTGTCCAAGTAACTTTTTTTTGTTCTCAGGATATTAAAAAAAAAACAAACCACCTCTACAAGTTTTCCTTATATGCAGACTAAATGACAAAAGATGAATAAAACACATTTGAAAATAATAAGAAAAACCACACCCTATTCTTTGTATGCAACACTTTTTTTTTATTTTTCCTCTCCAGAGAGCAAATGTTGTAGTTTAGTGTTCTCAGTGGAGAGAAGAAAAAATCCTGGGAATAAACTCTAACAGTCTTACCTCAAATGTTTTTACAGATTCAGAACAAAAGGCCATGCCACTGTCCCCAGTAGCAGCACTTAGAAAAAAGATGCAGGCTAAATAGAAACTATGTTTTTAATGATTGCAAGAAAACCCTGAACTGAAATGTATCAAGTTGAATTTTGGAGACAATACAAGATGTTATATAGATGCAAACACTGACTAACATCTCACTGTTGACATGTCAAGAATGATCAGCTTTAATGTAAAAAAAAAAAAATAATCCTCACATAGAAAAGAGGTATCCCAGGTACTTTTTAAGGTCAGTTTTACCCAGGACCACTAAAATGACCATTTAAAACTTAATTAGGCAAAAAATAACTATAAACCTGAGTAACCAGTTATATTTCTACCCCCTTTAAATATGGAAAACTGGAGGTAACATTATTTGAAAGCATTCGTGATCATTACAAAAGGTAAGTAAAACTGTTTCATGAGCAGAAACTCAGCTTGATCCAGCTTTAGGGAACAGAACACTTGCATTTGTCAGCCTGCTCTGCAGAAACAATCTGTGCAAACACCTTTATGAAGGCAGCTGCAATACCCAGAGCAAAGGAACAGGAGGTGTTCCCAAAGGACACGAGCAAAAGGAGGGAGATGGGCACCATCACAGAGCTGGGGCAGTGACACAGTGAATTCTCAGAGCACGGCTTTTGAAGTGCAGGAGACTCCTCTTCCACCACAATTAAATCAAGAACACCTTGTCGAGGTCAGCATTTTAAAGTTTTAGATTAAATATATTCTTTAGAAGTTTTGTTCTGCTTTATTTTAATTATTCCTCTATTTAATATTAATCAACCCTTGTGTTTTACTTATAAATGTGCATAAGTTGCAGTACTTCATTTTTTCCACTTGGACACAATCTAGAGTCTCAAGCTTTTCTTTTGTGTTTGGTCCCTCACCTGTCAAATTAAGTACAACAGTTGTAGGCAATGATGCTAGCAGCTCCTTATGGCAGCCTTGGACTGCACTCTTAATGCTGAAAACTACTCAAGAGTTGGTAATTGGGGTTTTTTGGGGTTTTTTTAAAATAAATAATCTCATTAAAAGTCACTTTTCAATTAGAGTCTTTTCTGGTTTGGAATATTTGAGCAAGTCTAAGCAGATTGATGCACAGGAACACTTTGTAGAGCTGAGCTGTGCACAGATCTCCCGGCTGCAGAGATCAGGTGCTGGAGCTCAAAGGTCCACCAACATTCCAAAGCTGGGCCACTAATTGACATCCTCAGTATCCCTGGTGCTGCTGGGTACTTCCTGCTGGAGATAACTCACATATCCCACACATGACTTTCATGAAAGTCACAATCCTGCTGTTGTTTTATGGTGCATTCACAAACTCTGCTACAGCTTCATTAAATATTGATAAAAACAAAACCTAAAAACTGGTTCTAAACATAACTGCAGAAAGTACAAACCAGCAGAAAACACTGTAGAGACTATAGTTTTCCTGATTCTTTATCTAATAAAAAATAAATCCTATTGTCTCTTGTTTTATTTTACACCTAACCAAATACTGAATTGACTTTTCCACGGTGGAATTGTCCTTCATAGCTTCAGAAGCCTGGTAAATAAACAACATTGTATTGTGATGTTTGACCCTTTTATTATTTTTTAAAAGAATTAATAAAACCTAGGAATTCAAAAAATTTAATAATCCAGCTCCTTAATTTATTTTTAGTTTTTGAATGTGGTTACAGTCCCAAACATTTATGAGTAACAGAGGGGAATTTCTGTGAAGCATTCAGATGTCCCTGAATTCAGAGCATATTCCTTAAGGTATTTTTTCATTTTTTTAACTGCCATGTGTCCAGGTGTTTCATGCAAAAGCAGCGGGGTATATTGATTTCTGCTGGAATCCTTCCAACTAAGTTGGAATAAAAAACTTATTTATATTTATCTTATTCTTTTCTCTTGCCTTACTGTATCAGCAAAGGTTTACGCATGACTCCCATACTCCAAAAATGGATGTAACATTGCCAACTCTCAGTTACTGTTTAATCAAATTAATTCCATTCAGATTTCAAAGAAAGGCTTTAGAACTCTTATTTATAAACAAAGAGTTGGTTTCTAAAAAAATTCAGTCTTTGGGACTGTTGAAAAAAATCAGTAGGAAGAACACAGACACTATTTTATTTCGTTTAGGTTTAAAACAGACTAAAATAGTGTTAGTGAAGTTGTGCTCTTGTCTCATTAATAGATGTCATTGTACTTATACGTACAGGATGGCTCATTATAGCTGATTTTCTGAGTGATCTTCAAGGCATGATATGGTTAGAAATAGCAAAATAGAAATGCTATTTGCTCCTTCAAGGCTACCACATTCAGTGTTTCCAATACTGTGCCCCGGTATTGATAAACCTGTAACCTCCAGGGAAAAATGCAGGAAAAGGAAGAATGCAGGATTTAAAATATCCTGGGAAGCAGCAGCATTCAGGGCAGCTGCTTCTGCACAGATTGCAGCAGCAGCCATCCCCATCCATCACATCTGTCCTGCAGCATTCCAGCTTCAGAAATGGATTTTGCTGCTTACATCTGGAACAAAGCAAGTTTCCTCTGCTAGCTTTAAATGAAACCCACACTCCATGGCCCTCGCACTGTAAACATTTTTTTTTCCAGGCAGACAACATTAGCTGCTGTAGGGAGAAAAATGACCCAGGAGAACAAGAGATGGGAAAGCCTTGTATGACTTTTGTGACCAGCAGACAGGCACCCAAACTCTGCAGCTACAGAGTCATTAACACAGGTAAGACAAATGCTTGGTGCATTTCCACCAAGGAATATTAAGACATGATTTATTTTAACACCAGAGCTCACACACTGGAAGACTTTTTAAAATGCTGCATATTTATATTTATACCCATATACCACTGGGTATTACCAGCTTTACAGATTCAGTACCAAAACTGGCTTTTCCTTTATCTTTTTATCCATTTATAACTGATCATTTCCCATAGAACCAGCACTTACTAAGGCACTAAAAAAGCAAGATGCTTATTTTAAATCCTTCTTCCCATATCTAAATGCATTGCAAAAAATTAGCCAGATACAAGTTAGTAAAGTTCCTCTGAAAATACAACTCTAGTTATCAAAAAAATACCTTCTCAAGAAATCCCTACAACAAAAGAATATATTTTTGATAACACATTCTTGTATCACTACTGCATTCCACAAAGTAAGCAGCCTAAAAAGTCAGTAAATAGCATATAGGGAGTTAAATTTTGTGTTCAGTGAAGTCAGTGCTAAAATATTTACAATGATTCAGTATAAGCAGAGTTCCCTGAAGTTCCTATAGGGTCATCTAGTGCTTCTCTCCTGATATCTCAGAATTATGTGTGCTAGCCCTAACTAGAAAGAGTCTTGGAAAAAAAAAAAAAAATAAATCTTACACACAGAATAGCTTATAAGTGATTTTGTTTAGTCACCTACTGAACCTTAAAAAACATAGAACCTAAAATTTTTATTGCTGTGCTCTTAGATGTGTCATGGTTTAG